AGCATTTATTGTTTGGGAGACTTTTGATAAAGGCCATTCTCACTGGGGTTAAGTGATATCTCATTGTGGTTTTGATTTGCATTCCCTGATGATTAGAGATGTTGAGCATTCTTCATATGTTTGTTGGCCATTTTCTGTCTTCCTTAAGAAAGTTTCTGTTCAAGTCCTTTGCCACTTTTAATGGTTATTTGATTTTTTCTTCCTGATTTTCATGAGTTCTAAGTATATTAGTGTATCAGTCCCTTATCGGATGCATAGGATGCAAAATTTTCTCCATTCGTAGGTTGGTCTGTTTACTTTCATGACTATTCTTTGGCTGTGCAGAAGCTTGTAGTTTCATTCGCCTATTTATTTATTTTGTTGCGTGCTGTGATGCCTTTGGGACTTCATAAACTCTTTGCCCAGGCCGATGTCTAGGAGAGTGTTTCCAACTTTTCCTCTAGAATTCTATAGTTTCATACCTTAGGGTTAAGGTCTGTTATCCAGCGTGAGTTGATTTTTGTGAGAAGGTGAAAGGTGTGGTCCTGTTTTAGCCTTCTACAGGTGGCATCCAGTTTTCCCAGCACCATTTATTGAAAAGGATTCTTTTCCCCAGCATATGTTTTTGTCTGCTTTGTCAAAGATGAGATGGCTATATGAGGATGGTTTTATATCAGGATTCTCACATCTGTTCCACTGGTCCATATTCCTATTTTGTGCCAATATCATATTGATTTAATTACTACAAGCTTGTAGTTATAGTTTCATATCTGGCATATTAATGCCTCCATTTTGTTTTTGTTGCCTAGAATGCTTGATATTTGTGGTCTTCTTTGTTCCATATGAAGCGTAAAATTATTTGTTCTATATCTGGAAGAATGCTGATGGATTTTTTAATAGATTGCATTGAATCTGTAGATCAGTTTGGTAGTATAGACATTTTGATGATGTGAGTCTGCCGATCACGGAGCATGGTATGGATTTCCATCTGTTTACATCCTCTGCTATTTCCTTCCTTAGTGTTTCATAGTTCTCCCTGTAGAGGTCTTTTACATCCTTGGTTAAGTATATTCCTAGGTACTTTAATTTCTTTGTTGCTATTGTGAAGGGTATTGAGTCTTTGATTTGGTTCTCAATTAGATCATTGTTGGTGTATATGAATGCCTCTGATTTCTGTGTATTGATTTTGTATCCTGAGACTTTACTAAATTCATTGATCAGTTCCAGCTTACCAATTTTTTGTAGGTTATATATACATATACATAAAGCAATTGATAAGCTGACCCTCAAATACATATGGAAATGTAAAGAACATAGAATAGCCCAAACAACCTTGAAAAAAAATTTCAAGGTTCAAATTGGGACTCACATCCCAATTTCCAAATTTACTGCAAAGCTACAATAGTCAATACCATATAGTGAGCACTGGCATGGGTTAGACATGTGGACCAGTGTGATAAAATTCAGAGTCCTGAAATAAAACACCTGTAGCCAATTGATTTTCAACAGGAGGGACAAAATAATTCAATGTGGAAAGAATAGTCTTTACAACAAATGTGCTGATATGAATAAATGTCAACATACAAAAGAATGAATTTGTAACCTGTCACACACTAGATTCAAAAATGAACTCAAAATGGATCAAAGACCTACATGCAAAAGTGAAAACTCTAAGACTTTTAGAATATATAGGTGTAATTATTCATGACCTTGGATTAGGCAATAGTTTCTTAGATATGATATATAAAGCATGAGCAACCAAAGGAAAAATGAGATAAATTAGAACACATAAAGATTTAAAATTTTGGTGTGTCAAAAGACACTATCAAGAAAAAGAAAAGACAACCTACAAAATGAGAGAAAATACTTGCAAACAATTTATCTGGCAAGGGACTTTATTTTGAATACATAAAAAAACATTTGCAAGGTAACAATAAAAAGACAAATTATACAGTTTAAAAGTGGGCAAAGGATTTATATAGCTATTTCTCCAAAGAGGCTATACAAATGGCCAATAAGCATATGAAAAGATACTCAACATTAGTAGTCATCAGGAAAATGCAAGTCAAAATCACAGTAAGGTACCACCGCAGACCCATTAAGATGACTAAAATAAAAGACAGACAATAACAAATATTGGTGGAGGAGATAGGAAAGTAGAACTCTTATACACACAGCAGGTAGGATTATAAAAAGGTGAAGCCACACTGGAAAACAATTTGGCAGTTCCCCCAAAAGTTAAACATGGAGGTACTGAATACCTCAGCTAATTTCACTCCTACATAAAGAATTGAAAATATATGCCCACACCAAAACTCATAAATGGATGATCACAGCAATATTATTTATAATAGCCAAGAGTGAAAACACCCCAAATATCTACCAGCTGATTAAAAGATAGATAAAATGTGATATAGCTATGCAATAGAATATTAGTCAGCCATAAAAAGGAATGAAGTACATATGTGCTATAACATACAGGATCCTTGAAAACATGTTAAGGGAAAGAAACCATATATAAAGGTTAAATACTATTCATTTAACCTTTCATTTATAGCTATTTCATTTATATTAAATATCTAGATTAGGCACTGATTTCCAGGGACTGTGGGGAGGAAGGAATGTCTGCTAATGGATATGTGTGTTTTTGTGGTATAATGAAACTTCTGGATTTAGATTGTGGTGATGGCTGTGCAACTTTGAGAATATACTAAAAAACTACTGAATAGTATATTTTTAAAAAGAAGCAGTGAAATAAGATGTTTTTCTTCCTATATTTTGCCTTATAGATTCTTTATTCCATAGATTAGAATGGGGCTCAGGAATTTGCAATTTTATTAAGAACTCTAGATTATTTTTAAGCACTTGATATGTTGAATCACAATTTAAGAAAAAAACGTTTTCAAATTATTTTTGCCTACATTTGAAAGTAGAAAATTTAAACATCTGCCTTTGAAGTCTAGAAAATCTAGTTCCATTTTTTTTCAAACTCCTCTCATGTCTAGCCACCAAAGCTTCAGCAGATTCTGCAGGTGCGGTCTTACCTAGGATTCTTTGCTAATGTAAAGTTTTATTTGCTTTTAACTAAAGTAGATCTATAGTTGTCCCTCTGTATCTGTGGGCTCCACATCCATAGATTCAATTAACCATGGATTGAAAATATTCAGGTAAAAATAATTAAAAACAATAATAAAAATAATGGATATAAAAAGCAATATGACAACTATTTACACAGAATTTTCATTGTATTAGGTATTATAATTAAACTAGAGATGATTTAAGTACTTGGAAATCTGTGTATAGCTTATATGCAAATACTACACCATTTTTATATAAGCGGCGTGAACACTGGCATAGTTTGGTATCCATGGAGGTCCTGGGACTAATCGCCCATGAATGCTAAAAAACGACTGTATATTGATAAATTAATGTGAAATGTCTTGACTTACATAACTTACTTTTGTTTTCAACATCAAGACTTTCCACAGGACATTCTTTCTTAAAATCTCTGTTAGAGGAGGACAACTTTTCTTTATAAGAGTCTAACCTTGCTGGCAGTTCAGGGAAAAGTGCTTGTGGGCTTCTTGTGGCTCTTCCACTGACAGGATTTCAGTTAGGGCTATAAAACCTTAGGAATAATTTAGAGTCATTTGCATATCTCTTGGTAGACGACAAGGGCCCTGTTGTTTGCACATTTTAATTAATGAATTTTAAAAACCTGGAAAGGAAAATAAAAATGAAAATATTAAATTATTCATAAAACTCTTGATAGCTAGTGTCCATCTCTATATCTCAGCAACATAGGCATTCTCATATCTACTGCTGGAAATTCCTTGAATTTCAAAAATATCATTGTGAAATTCAAAGTTACCACTGCTTATCTTAAGAGACCTTGATAAAAAAAGAAATCCTAAAGTCAACAATTAATTGTTGTATGCAAATGCATTATTATGAGTTTGATTCTTAAAACATTATAAAATATTGTGTCTATTTTTAAAAATCCAGATACCCTGATTGGTTTCTGATGACAAAAGCAAAACTCTTAAGATCTCTGGAGGTGGAGTGGGGAGAAATAGTGGAGGGTTGAGTACCACGGTTAAGTGCCATGAATGTTTATATCCTCTGAAATTCATATATTGAAGCCCTAATCCTCAATGTGTTGGTATTTGGAGGTGGGTCCTTTCAGGGGTAATTAGATGGACCCCTTATGATGGAATTAGTACCATTATAAGAAGAGACATGAGAGAGATAATCTGTCTCTCCATTGTGTGAGGATACAGCCAAAAGATGGCTGTCTTCAAACCAGGAAGAGAATTCTCACCGTTCGAACATACTAGCATTTGATCTTGGACTGCTCAGAACTGTAAGAAAGTGATTGTGGGTCTTTTTGGTTTTTTTCTTTTTTTTAAGCCACTTGGTCTGTGGTATTTTTTTTATAGCAGTCCAAACTACTAAGACAACATGCTTAAGAAATTGAATCTAAGAGATGTCAGGATTGAGGACCCGTCTAAGAACTTGATGATGATGACATATAAAAGTGATTGAATCAAAGGCAGCTCAAAATAGTCATTAAAAACACTTTTTTGATGTAAAATAGACATTACTGCTTTTGTGATAGTAAATAATAACAATAAATATGATAACAAAAATTTACAATAGTAATTATATGCTAGGCCTTGTACTAATCTCACTACAACATAATGAAGTAAGTATATTATCTCCAAAGAAAGAACTTAATGCATTGAGAGGCTAACATGTTACTTAATGTTTTAGACCTTATTTTGTACCTCTGAACTGGGAATGATTATTTCAAAATATTTAAGAGGATTAAGTGAATTAAAATGTAAATAAATCTTCTTAATACATTGTTGGTATATGGCAAACACTCAAAAAATGGAAAAACTTGTCATTTTCAAGTGCGTATTATATGATCCATTTCATCTTAATATAAAAAGTCATGTTAATTTACAATATATCATAGTGTTAAGACTATATAACACTTTTATTTGTTTTGAACCCAGGGCCGCCTGGACCAGCTGTCCCTCCACCTGCAGGTTACCCAGGAGGCTTGCCTATGGGATACTACAGTCCACAGCAGCCCAGTATCTTCCCCTTCGGCCCGCCAACTGGTGGTACCCATATTACGCAGTATCAGCCTGGCAAATATCCTGTGCCAAATCAGCAGGCTCTAATAACATGGATGCCAGGGCCACCTCCAGTACCAAACTGCCCTCCTGGTCTGGAATACTTAGCTCAGGTACTCCATGCACATACCCATTATGTTCTTATGAAGTATGACCATGGGGATCTCAGAAGAGAAAACAGGCCAAAGTTAATAAAAGAGATGAATCAGTGATGAGAAATGCCTAGTTTGTGAAACTGTAAGCATGCTAATACTAATGTCAGAAGTTTGAAGGGGGAGCAAAGAGTATAGGGATGTTTTTAGTGGGATGAATTTGGTTTTCATAAGGATTTGTGTTGAGTTTTAAGGCATTCAAGATGTTTTCTTGAAGGAAACTAGAGAAATAGGAACAGGAATAGAAAAAATGCTCTCATGGATGCTGATTGCATCATTTGCTTAGAAGTAAAGATTTAACATCAAGTAAACCAACTTTAAAAAAAAACACAAGACAGCAGGAGAATTACTGAATACCTTATCTTATTGCTTTTCTTCCCCACCCATTATTTTCCTTAGTCATTCTTGCCACCCTCAAAAATATACAATACAAATAAAAATAAGGGACCTAGCAAGGATATGACTTCAGGCCAGGTTCCAGAAACCCCCTTCAATAGCACAATGACTCTCTAATTTCCATCTATGTGGGTATTCTGGAGCCACCAGGACATCCAGATTTTTTGAAAACTTAAAAGTTCTATTACTCCAGTTAACACACAAATGATAAAGTAGAAACATCTTATTGCTGACATGCAGAAAGTTTTAGTGGTCTGGATAGAAGAGCAAAACAGCCACAACATTTCCTTAAAGCCAAACTTAATATGGAGCAACTTTCGTAAGTTCTATGAAGGCTGGTAGAAGTGAGGAAGCTGCAGAAGATAAGTTTAAAGCTAGCAGAGATTGGTTCATGAGTTGTAATGAAAGAAGTCACCTCCTTAACATAAAAATGCAGCAAGTGCTGTTGTAGAAGTTGCAGCAAGTTATCTTAGCTAGATCTTCTGGATAACTTGATAAAGGTGGCTACACTAAACCACAGAGTTTTGATGTAGACAAAACAGCCTTCTATTGGAAAAAGATGCCACCAGGGACTTTCACAGCTAAAGAGGAGAAATCAAGGCATGGCTTCAAAGCTTCAAAGAACAGGCTGACTCCCTTGTTATTGGCTAATGTAGCCAGTAAGTTTAAATTGAAACCAATGCTCATTTGGCATTCCAAAAATTCTAGGACATACAGAATTATGCTTAATTTAATCTGTGATCTATAAATGGAACAACAAAGCTGAGATGACAGCACTTTTGTTTGAAAACATGGTTTTTTGAATACGTTAAGTCCACTGTTGAGACCTATTGGTAAAAAAAAAAAACCTTGCAAAATGTCATTAATTACTTGCTGATAATGCACTTGGTTACTCAAGAGCTCTGAGGGAGCTATACAAGGAGATTAATGTTGTCTTCATGCCTAGTAACACAATATCAATTCTTCAGCCCATAGATCAAGGAGTAATTTCAATTTTCAAGTCTTACTGTTTAAAGAATACATTTTTTAAGGTTATAGCTGCCATAGATGGTTATTTCTCTGATGAATCTGACCAAAGTAACTTAACAACCTCCTGGAAGGGATCCACCCTCTGGATGCCAATAAGAACATTCATGATTCATGGAAGGAGGTCAAAATATTAACATGAACAGGAGTTTGGAAGAAGTTGATTCCAGCCCTCATAAATGACTTTGAGAGATTCAAGATTTCAGTGGATAAAGATCTGTTGGAGATATCAAGAGAACTAGAATTAGAAGTAGGGCCTGAAGATGTGAGTAAATTGATTCAATCTCAAGATAAAACTTTAATGGATGAGCAGTTGCTTCTTATCGATGAGCAGAAAGTGGTTTATTGAGATGGAATCTACTGGTGGAGATACTGTGAACACTGTTTAAATGACAACAAAGAATTTAGAATATTATTAATACATGAATGTAGTTGATAAAATAGCAGCAGGATTTAAGAGGATTGCTTCCAATTTTGAAAGAAGTTCTATTAATTCTATAGTAGGCAAAATGCTATCAAATAGAATCACGTGCTTCAGGGACTTCTTTGGTAGAAGGAAGAATCAATCAAAGTCATAAGCTGTTTTCTTATTTAAGAAATTGACACAATCACCCCAGCTTTCAGCAACCATCACCCTGACCAGCCAGCAGCCATTAATAGCCATGCAAGACCCTCCACCAGCAAAAGGATTATGACTAGCTGAAAGCTCAGGTGATTGTTAGCATTTTTTATCAATAAAGTATTTTTAATTAAGGTATTTTTTTAGACATAAGATTGCACACTTAACACACTACAGTATAGGGTAAACATAACTTTTATATTCAATCAGGAAGCAAAAAGTTTGTGTTACTCACTTTATTGCAATATTTGCTTTATTGCAGCAGTCTGGAACTGAACCTGCAATATCTCAGGAGTGTGCAGTGAATATTTTTACTTTTTAGTTCTATATGTTAATATCCTAGACTATTAAAAAGGACTATAAACCATTTTAGGAGCAATGTTTGATATTTTATAAGACATGTTTCAACACCCTTACCCAATCATGTTCCATATAGGAAAAGGTTTTTAATTAAGCATGATTATGTCCTTTCTGTCCCCTCCAGTTATTAATCATACCACAAAACATTTATGTTTAGTTTTTTTTAATTTTATTTATCACCACATTCATATATTTTTATTAATTGATATATTCAACCAATATTTGGTGAAATATGGCATTTCAGGCATTATTCTGGGCCCAGGGATTAGGAAGGTCTAATGGCCTAAATATTAATAATCTAAAATTATATGAATAATATCAGTGTGTCTTCAAAGAGGCTTTTTCACTTCTGCCAGCATGTTCTCACATATAATAGACGATGGGCTCATCAAACTGTCCATCTTTAGAGTCATTCCTAAGTAAAGATAGAAGTTTCTCTAATGGTATTGCCAACCTCTCTTTTTATGTGTTACTACCTAAGTAATGTCTCCTCTTCCTTCCCTTAATTCTATTCACATACTCTTGCCCTCATGGACCCTCCCCTTATTAAAGTGTGCACTTGGGGAAGACCCTGGTATTAATAGCACAGTCGGTGTGTTAACCTCCTCCAGAGGTACTTCTGAAATAATATAAAATTGGACAGTACATGTGATATTCACCCTGGCCTCTTTGTTCTCCCTAAGTCATGGAGAGAATTTCCTTCTCTTCAGTTGACCCACATTAAATTGTTCTGAGCTTCCTAAGCACTTCCAATCTAAGGATAGTATGTCAGAGAAATGGGTGAGTAGGGACTGATTTAGGAACAATCTACGTAAGCATAGCTTCTTCTAGATGCTATTACTATAGCAAGTAGATGTTTCTCTGATATATTGGACAACTGTTAAAGTGGAACTGGAGGAAAGTGTTTTCCTTATGGGGCAGCTCTACTAATACCCATATGATCAGATGCAGATAAGCTAACTTTCCTTGATAAACTTTTTTGACTCTATTCACCTTCATAAAGATATTTTGATATCAATTGATACGTTTGGTATCTATCTCATCAGCTTCTTTTCTAATGCTAGTTTGTTTTACTTCTGTTATTTCTCTCTTCTAATTACTTTGTTCTATCCCAACAGTTGGACAACATACATGTTCTTCAGCATTTTGAGCCAATAGAAAGTACGTATAATGTTCAACAGTATTTTAAACAGGTAGAAATTTGCATTATCTAATATCTACTTCTTTCTTTATATTGATCATTTCCAGTGGTTCAAAGAGGAAAAAAAAACAACTATGGCCCATAAGTTTTGTCTTCAAGAAAATAATGAAGCAAATTATTATGTATAATTTTATTTATCTATAAATCATGTAATCAAAAGCTCTTGGACTTGAAAAGGGCATTCATTTAATTTGGTAAACCCCCATCCTTTACCCATTATTTCTGCTCTTTATCCATCTTTCATATATGAGTAAAAGAATGAGCTAAGGTACTAAATTAGTTACCTAGGAGCACCACTGTCAGCTAATCAGTGCTAGAGCTGGAAATAGAAGTTAAACCACATTCAAGTCATCAGTGCCAGAGCTGGATATAGAATCTAAATCTGCTGAATTCTAGTTCAGTGCCCTTGCTTTGGAAGTAAGAAGAAAATATCACGGTCAAAAATCATGCCTGTTCTCAGTTCAGCCTTTCAAGATTATTGACCCTTACTGTACTAGCTGTACATGTTCATTTGGCCACAACAGTAAGGCCTTTGACTTTTCTTAGTTTGTTTTTTTATTTGCAAATAGTAATGATCCTCATCATCTCAGCATATTTCGTGAGCAGATTAATTAAAGGTCCAATGTGTAATTTCATTTAAATGATTTTATAATTGAAGTTTTCTAAATTCAGATACTCCAATTATATTGTTTAAATCTTTGCTTTTGTGTGGAAAAGTTTTAAAAATGAATTTACAATGAACTTCTTAATAAAAGAAATGTTTTGCATTTCCCAAATTATTTAAATACTTATAAAGCACATGGATTTTTGGATGTTCTAATCAATTGTATATATTTCCCTTGAAAATTTTAAAAGTTATTTTGCTTTAAACCCCTAAGAAATACTAAACAAGGACTTCTTGAGGGCCATTTTAATTGGTTCTAAGTTCAGACGACATTCTTATTTTATTTTATAGTGATAACAAATTTTGAAACTAATAATAGATATGACATTAAAAACAACTCAGACCAAATGGTTTACATCGTAACCGAAGACACAGATGACTTTACCAGGAATTCTTATCGGACACTAAGGCCCTTTGTCCTCCGTGTCACTGACTGTATGGGCCGAGAAATCATGACAATGCAGAGACCTTTCAGATGCACCTGCTGTTGCTTCTGTTGCCACTGGGCCAGGCAAGAGGTCAGAGAATGGAAGTTTAATCATTGTTTGTTTCTGATCCAACTCTTCACAGCACATGTGCTCCTTTCAAAACTACACAGGAGGGATTTTTCCCTGGCCTTGCCAGTCAGAATGGAAGAAGTTAGTGGGGAGGGAGGGAGCCAAATTGTCTCACCTAAGGAAAATCACAGAGGGCTTTTCTTGTGAGTTCATATTCTTCACACGCTGGGTGGTGGGTCAAGCCTGAAATAGGCTTGTTTAGGCAATGATCTCTCTTTTATCAGTTTTGTCTACTGAATTCGAAATTTATGAGTTGGATGGTAGTCATATACAATTATCTAAATATATCTGCATATAATATCAGAAAATGCTAAACATAAACATATACGTTTAGATTTGGAAGGGACTTTAGATACCTTAACGTTACCCATTCCAACCCACATCTTTCTACAGATAAAGAAAGAGTGGCTCAAAAAGATTAAGTGCCTGAGAGGGTGTCACACTTGGCAGAGGACAGTGCTGGAACTAGACTGCAGATGTGCTGAGTTACAGTTTGGTTACTGTTTTATTATCTGTGCAGTTCTAGGAAAGTTGTTTCCTACAGGAAAAGAAAAGCAGTTTTATTTATTTTTTTATTTTAGCGTATTATGGGGGTACAAGTGTTAAGGTTACTTATATTGCCCATGCCCCCCTCCCCTCTCGAGTAAGAGCTTTAGAGAGAGGTCAACCAGAGTTTGAATTCTAGATATGCCACCTACTAAATTTGGACAATACATTTAACCTTTTTGAGCCTTACTGTTCTTATTCATAAATTGGGCACAATGATATCTTATAGGATTACTGGGATATTTGAATGCTACATTATGTTAAACAACAGTGTTTACTAAATATCAATTTATTTACAATCCTCTCTGTGCCTTAATTTATTTACCTGTAAAATAGAGAGATTGTTAGTACCTATCTGACAGGATGATCGTTTCAAGGATGAAGTCAATTCCATAGCACAGTGCCTGGCAAATAGTATAGTACTCAATAAATATTTGAGTATCTATTGTTCTCAGATATGTTACTGTTTTGTCATTATTGCTTTTGTAATAATAGCCTCATATTTGAAGTCAATCTCCACCTCTTAGCCTTAATCCTTTTGGATATCATAGGCATTTTTCTTCATATTTGTGATTGGGATTTTTAATCAAAGCCTATAAATATAGCCTTGTGAGATTATAGGAAGCCAGGATAGAGTAAAAAAGATCAATATTGCAAACTTAGCCCAATTTATGAAACTTTTGTCCCATAACTTTATGTAGGTTGTTTTTAACTTCTTCAGTTTTACTTGTGTGTGTATGTACATTTAGTTTATGCAGTTTTACCAGCTGTACAGATCCCTATATCTACCACCATAATACAAATACCAAACAGTTCCATCATCATTCCCTTTTAATACCACACCCACTTATCCCCCTCCTCGAACCCCTGGCAATCGCTAGTCTGTTCTCCATCTCTATAATTTTGTCATTTCAAGAATGTTATATAAACAGAATCATATATGTAACTTTTCAGGATTAGGTTTTTTCACCCTGTTTAATTACCTTGAGATTCATACAAGTTGTTCCAGATATATCAGTAGTTTATCCCTTTTTATGTGTGAAGAGTAAACATATCATGGTATGAATTTTTTTAAGTAATTTATTTCTATACAATTTTGATTTTTATCTCTGAGGTTTAAAATTATATGAGCTATCAGTTCTAGGAAGATATCAAATCTTATGTTTGTATATAGGTGGGAATTTATATACATGAGCAATAACATATTGAGTTGACAGTTCATGAAGCTGTGTAGTCCTGCCCCATGTCCTATGTAATCCTTTCCCGAAATTCCTAGGAAAGTACATGTGACTCCAGAGAAATAGTCAATAGAAGCTTCATTTTGGGATTTTACTAAAAAATATAATGTGCACCTAGGGACACTGAGCTTGGACAACTGGCTATTTTATAACCAGCTGTAATTTAGCCTGCCCTTTATCTTAAAAGAAATATGACCTTATACCTTGAGACTGCTCACTGAAATATAGTCCTAAGACGAATGGTTTGGGTAAAATGAAAGATGTTCTCTCTTAGCAATATTTTCCTTAGTCCTTGATACAAACACAGCTACATGGTGTATCTGCATGTGTGTGTATACATGTGCATGTAGCATCCTAACTTCTGTCACTACTTACTTGCAGCTGGAGGTGCAGTGTCCTCCTGGTGTCACCCTTGGCTTTGTTGCGGAACACTGGAATTTGTGCAGGGCAGTTTACAGCATCCAAAATGAGAAGAAAGAAAGTGTGTTGAGAGTGCGTGGGCCATGCTCAACCTATGGATGTGGTTCAGATTCTGTTTTTGAGGTGAACATATGTAAAAACAATGTTTCTGTTATTTTTTTCTTCCACATACTAACAGACCTTGGAACAATATGGTCTTAGACATTTTTTCATGTAAATGAATAAGGCTGAGCAAAGAATTACTTAACCAGTTGTCATCAAAAGATTTTATAATTATTGTTTGTGGATTGCTTAATGTTTTCCAAAATGTGAATTCCTTATTTTTTGAGTGCTTGATAAAAATAAAAAGAAGCCATTTAAAACATTAAACTGTCTGAGAGTAAATAGTCTGACTTAATTGAGTTATTAAATTCTTGGCTTTATTTAACTAACAGTTTTTTTCCAGAGATTTCTAGGATGGGAATATAGGTTCTGTGTAATACAAGTGCCTAACATAACACAGAACATATAGAGCACTCCTAAAGTTATGTAAATTGTGTATGTGTCTGATAGAAATCTATTAGCATCCTCAAGAAATAGGATAACACTGATAACATGGGTAACTTATAATAGGTTATATTGTAACATTTTCTCAAGAAAGAGAAAAATCCTTTTGTTTTGCCTTTATCTCAGTGGCTACAAAGTGATTGCTTATCATCCTGTGAATCTGACAAAGGAAATGCCTAGAAGTAGTTCCTGGGCTTCTTAAACAGTACTTTCTGAATGCCTTGCAATTTCAGTAAGAGTCATCATCTACTAAAATTGCTTATTTGAATGTTTCCTATGATACCCAATAAACTTTTCTTAGTTCTTATTTTATATCACTATGTCATTAATCATCAACTATTTATTCAAAGACCAATATAAATAAGCCAAATTGCCAGGGTAAACTGTGTGTGATCATTTCCATTGTCAAGTGACCACAGGTAAAAGTTATTTGAATGTTTTCCCTGTAGCAAGTGTCAGGGTCCCCCTTTTATTACAGAAAATGATGCCCTTTGGTATGTTAAGGAGACAGGGTAGATTTGGCCCACTAGATGTTGAGTGATGTGAAGTGCACTGTTCCATACCTCCCTGCATTACTCATAGGTTTCGCTAGATTGAAAGTAAACCCCACCCAATCCCTAATTCCTACCTTTGCTATATGGAGAAGAATGTAGTAATCAATTCAAACCATACCTCCTCTGATAAAGTCCCCTTATTACTCATTCGAAGATGAAGAAAGAGCAATAGCCTGAGAATCATAAGATATTTCCCAGTTGCAGAGGAACTTAACCCTTCTTGCCTATAATTTTCTCAATAATTACTATATTATTTTCTCATTGAAAAAATAATTACCATATTCTTTTCCTACTGTCTCAGTGTCGACTGCTTCTAAGTAGAAGACTAAAACATGTACTCTAATACCTTTCCATCACATAAAGTCACATTATTGTCATTCTAGGTCAAATCCCTCGATGATGTATCCAACATCGGCAGTATTATTAGGAAGTGGAATGGTTTGATATCAGCAATGGAAGATGCTGACCACTTTGACATTCACTTCCCATTGGATCTGGATGTGAAGATGAAAGCCATGATTTTTGGAGCTTGCTTCCTCATTGTAAGTCTTTTTTATTTTTTTAGTTATCCTAAGGGAGTTATTCTTTCTGATGAGAAGCAGTAAGTACAGTAGAAAGTACAGTAGAAAGGGAATAATCTTTGAAACTAGGTCAACTTCTGTCTGTGCTACTTACTAGTTACATGTTTTGCAAAATGTTTAACACTTGTAAGCCTCAGTTTCCTCATCTGTAAAATGAAGATGAAAATATATTTTTCAGGGTTATGAATATTGATTATAATATGACTATAATGGCCAGGAGAGTGCTTAGAAGATAATAGGCATCCAATGGGTGTAATTGCTGTCACTGCATCTCTCATTCTCATTGCTTAAAAATGCCTGTCCTGTGATTTCCTAATGACATAACTCTAAACCCGATATCCTTTTCCATCTTTCTTACTGCCTTTCTCTCATTGTATACCTTGGTGTTGTACCATCCTTAGATTGTCAAGTTTTTCCTCCTGTTAATGATGAAATGTAGTTAATTGGTACTGAAAATAGCCAACGGTTTCAAGTTTGTAATTGCTGCTCTTCACATTAAATTATCTTCAAAAAGATCCATTAGATATCATTGTTTTTAACTGGATTGTGAGGTCCCCCTCATACATTATAAAGGATATTATTGTATGGATTGCACCCAATTTATGTAGATAGAGAGATAGATAACATTCTTTTTCCAATTTCAGGACTTCATGTATTTTGAAAGATCTCCACAACAACCAGAGAAGGATGATGCAAATAATGAAAGATCTCCACCACAGCCTTCATCACCAGAGTGGGAGGCAGCAAATAGTCAATGATGGTTAATAAATAATAATTAGAAAGTTAGTATAGATTTACAGTCAATCCTCAATTATTTGCAAGTGTATTTCTGCTTTGCAGATTTTTGTTATTGAGTATTAACTTTGACAGGTAGGCTAAGAGTTTGAATCCAAGAAAGAATACAATCTAAACATGTGTTTTTGTTCACTTGGTAGACTAGCAGTTCATCCTAAAAGCCTATGACTCCTACTTAAAATAATATAAACACTTAAAACACTGTAAACATGAAATATGGGAAAATGAATCCCTAAGCTCTCACATTAATAGGTAGTAAGATAGTGGGCTCTTTAGAGCCATCTTTGTTGGGATAAAATAACATGTCGTCTATCTTTAATCCTCTCCTATCTCACCTCTCCATCATGTCCTTTTACTGAAGACAAACTTGATTCCATGTGAAAAGAATGATACTCTTCATCTTTAAAAACAAAAAGGAAAGCAGACAGAAATATGTTTCATTGTATAAGGAAAGTTTACTTGTGCACATGTATCAAAACCTTACTCTACAAAATTTATAAAAGGTTCACTGGGAAATTTGATTTTATTACAAAATAAGACATGTATTTGTTTTAATCTTAAGGTTTATATTTCCCATGCCTGTTCCCTAATTTACTGGCATGCACAGTCAGGAGCTGCCTATACATGAAGGCAGGATCAGACTATCAGGAAAGGAGCTGACCAGAGCCACAGCCAATGAAGATCTCTGAGCAGATTAGAGATATTAGTGTCTTTATAAGAAGCTTACATTTAATACATTTATACATTTAACACATAACCTCCCTTGGTCACGGATGCCTTATATATAAAATATGTATGACTGAATCTCTTAGATTGTATATTGTACATGTGTGTCTCATTTTGTATGATAAAGAAGACATAATTGTTTTTTTCTTTCAAGAAGATCTCTGGTAGTCACCGTACTGTTCTAATGACAAGAATTGGAGTTATGTTTTTAAATTTTGAAATGTGACATTTTGTGTAGCAGTTTATAAAAGCAAAAGCCACAAATTCTGATGTGATTAATACTGCTTTGCTGCTTTTTATCTACATGATAAATAAATGTGTATTTATACAAAGTAACAAAACACAGCAAATATGATACTTCTCTGAGATCCAAAGCTTATCAGTAAACATTATATAAGACCAAGAATGAAGTATCATTGTACTTGTTTGTACTAATTAATTAAAAGCATAGTGTACAAGTGAATACACTGTGATTAACTTGCCTTTATTCACCTTAGCTTCCTACCTGGACACGGACTGTGTCCATGAACTAATATCAAATTCAGTTGTTTGGCTACTGATAGCTAATGTTTAAAATAGATCTTTTTTCATAACTTTATTTTTCCTGTGTGTGTGTAAGATGTTTCTTACACTTAAAAATTCTCTTTCTTTAAAAAATAATACCTGTACCATATTTTTATAATACAATTTGCATTATTATTTCTATATTTCCTAGTGGCATTTCATTGTGTAAAATTGATCAGGTTTATTAAGAAACAACACCTCGTATGTAGAATGGGATGTATTCTTCATCTGCTCTTTATTACATAAAGAAAGACTCAGTGTTCTTAGGTAGGGTTATTCTAAGAGCTTTAGTCCACAGTTCTTTTTAAAATGAAATGAAGGTGCTCCAATTTTAAATTATACTCATTTTTTCATGGTAAAGTTGTTTTACTCAGTTTCTTGTAATGTTCATTTTTATATGCTGCTACTAGCTTTTATCAAAAAAGTGTAAAAGCTGCTTTCTAAAATATTAATTGCCTTACATTTGAAAATGCAATTGCAATCTTTAATAGACATATGCATTTCCTATAATGATATGTGATATTTAATATAGAAAAAACAGACAGACAGTATTCAGAAAGTTTATCTATATAAACTTTTTATTTTTACTTGCCTAAATCTCTATATTCCAAGATTTGATGCATAATGGTCAATATACGCATGTATATATTCAGCATAAAATGTCAGCATGTGACATTTAAAAATTCTGTTTAAAGTTTTGTGGTATTAATGTGTCTCCTGTCTCCTACAGTTACAATTTCTCTTTCTTAAAAAAATAATATCATGTGCCATATTTTAATAATACAATTTACATTATAATTTCTCTATTTCTTAGTGGCATTTTATTGTGCAAAATTGATGAAAAAAACAAACACGTGTTATTCTCTGAATTTTGTGTTTTCATGCTTTCTTATATTGCTTGTGGCTTTTAAATAAATATGACATGGTTAATAGTAAAGTACTGTTTAATTTTTGACTTATAATTGAGTCTTTGAATACTTTTTTCCCAAAGGAATTTTAAAGTAATTTTTTTATTAATTATTAGGTTTTACAGGGCCCTTGCTTTCTTATATAAATTTAATACTATTAAAGTCATTGCAGTCATGTTGCTTAGTAGTAATTAGTTTTCTTATATAACCAAGTTATTTATAAATGCTTATTTCTAATCCACTTTTAAAAGATGGATTTAAATTTCAAGTATAATTTTAGTGTCTGTATATCATAGAGGAAAGCTGCTAGGATTTGTAACTCTCAGTGAAGGATGCATTTTAAAACAATTTTTCTAAGTAACCATATTTCCAGAAATTATACACTAAAGCAGGTTCTCGGATTCACTCACCGAGTTTTCCAACCAACTAGATGTTAAATTTAGTTCAAGTATACAATAACCAGAGAGATTCCAGGGTACAGTATCTTGCCCCTATTGGGGCATCTGGCTAGTTTTCAGTTTTCTTTTTTTTCCTGAACGTTCAAGATTTGATTTAATTTTAAAGCTTCTGTGTAGTCAAGGAAACTATCACAAGAGCAGACAACCTTCAGAATGGGAGACAATATTCGCACGCTACACATCTGATAAAGGGTGGATAACTAGAATCTATATAGAACTCAGGAAAATCAGCAAGGAAAAATCAAACCCCATTAAAAAGAGGGCAAAGGACATGAAGAGAAACTTTTCAAAAGAAGGCAGAGTAATGGCCAAGAAACATATGAAAAAATGCTCAACATCTCTAATCATCAGTGAATACAAATCAAAACTATAATGAGATATCACTTAACTCCCTCGAGAATGGCTTTTATCAAAAAGTCCCAAAACAATAAATGTTGGCATCAATGCAGAGAGATAGGGACACTCAGATACTAGTACAACCTCTGTGGAAAGTAATATGGAGATACTCAAAGAGCTACAAGTAGAACTACCATTTGATCCAGCAATCCCCTTACTGACCATCTATCCAAAGGAAAAAAAGACATTCTATAAAAAAGACATCTGCACTCAAATATTTATAGCAGCACAATTCACAATTGCAAAGATGTGGAAACAACCCAAATGCTCATCAATACATGAGTGGATTAATAAAATGTGGTATATGTATACCATGGAGTTCTACTCAGCCACCAAAACAATGGTGATCTAGTACTTCTTGCATTATCCTGGATAGAGCTGGAGCCCATTCTACTAAGTGAAATATGACAAGAATGGATAAACAAGCACTACATGTACTCATCATCAAATTGGTATTAACTAATGAACATGTATGTGCACATAGTAGTAACATTCATCGGGTGTAGGGCAGGTGAAAGAGAGGAGGAGGGGATGAGTAAATACACACCTAAAGAGTGCGGCGCACACCTTCTGGGGGATGGACACGCTTGAAGCTCTGACTTGGGTGGGGCAAAAGCAATATATGTAACCTAAACATTTGTACCTACATAATATGCTGAAATAAAAATTTTAAAAATCTATTACTCTCGTAGAAGTTACATTTTATATTCAAATAGCTTTTGGTTTTACTGCAGCTAGACTCCAGGTGTCCTTTAGCAGGAAGGTTTTAAGATTATCTAGGTGCAACATTGCCAGCAATGGGAGGGACCTGTTTCTAAAAACTGAACACAGTCTTTAGAATGAAATTTTCAGGAGAAAATGCTTTAATATAAATATTTTGGAACTCACAAAGTGTTACTATTCATTAGATAATTTAATTTACAGCTAAATCTAATTCAGCTAATTTACAGCTAAATCTTTATTTTCTATTTGAGATGACATATATTACCTTTCTATCATCACATTATTGTGTTTCTAAATTCTCTTAAAATATGTTTAATATTTCTGTTTTTAGGTAAAAGACATGCATTTGAAATGGCACTAGCTTTACTGCAATCCAGTCTTGGGCATATTTGTTTAGAAAAATTGTAAGATCATTTTCATAAACCATTTTAAAAACATGTTTGCTCAAATTGTCCTAGTTAACAGTCATTAAACATAATTTGAGTTTTTATCATTACAACATGTAAAAGTAAACACAGTTAGAAATTAGATCATTTTTAAAACTCTTGATTTTGCAGAAATAGGCAAATTGAGGGTACCATTAGGAGAAGCAATTAGAGTATTTAGAGTGACAAAATATTTGTCTAGTTTTGCTGCCCTCTGCACCCAGAACCACATCAGAAAACTGAATAAAACAATCTACAACAGGGGGCAGCATCAGCTCAAGGATTTCTCTATTTAAGGCTGCTCAGTGTTTTTCCTCTAAGAATTTATCAGTACTAATCTATTCATTTTAATGAATATAATCCATAGATTTTGAAATTGGAAGGGAGCATCAAGGATTATTTGCTCTACAGTCTAATATAAAAGTGTAGAAACTGGAAGAAGCCCAGATCATTTGTCCAAATACTCACTGGTAATTAATTAGTAATATACTCAGAACTAAAAGTACAGATCTCTGCTTTTATTTGAGTTTCCTTGCCATCACACCAAAAATTCAGCAGAGATTTAAAAATTGAATGAAATATTTTTTATAACATTGATATTTTAGGCAATAAAAATAAAACCCAGTTTCAAATTATTCTAATGTTCAAAATCATTTTTAAGCACATACTCCTAGATTTTAACTCAATAAACCAGTTTAATTTCACAGAAGTCTTTCAAATATAAAGAAGAAACTAAATTATGTTATAAAACAGTAACAACAAAAACATTTAAAACATTTATGTCATAGGTAATCTCCGTTCATATGCAACCATTCATACATTGATACAACTGCACCTTCTGCAGTCCCCGCTCACAACTGAATTCAATTTCTGTATTAAAATATGTATATTTTATTAAAATATGTAGATTTTTTTTCTGTGACAAGCTGTTAACTGATAGATTTTCCTGCTTTGAACAAACGTAATTGTTAGTTCAATTTGTTAGATGAGCACGGACAGCATCGAGCCATAACCTGAACAGGGGAAGGGAAATATGGCTAATTAACAACAAACACAACTTTGCCCAGATGTAACCTAGCCTTCCTGTTGACCTGACAGATGACATGGAATAGACAACATGGCTGGGAATGTGAGAATATTTTATTTATAGGTCTGGCAATTCAGATGACAGTTATGAAGATTATTCTTGGCCATTCTCAGGGTCTATTTAGCTCCCTAAAATGTGTTATGTGTTTCTGCTTATGAAATGTTCATGCTATTTGTTTGAGACATGGTCACAGGATCTGCCAGGGCATGCAAATCAGGGAGAGATTTTGCCGTTTTATTCACCGATAATTCTATAACTTTCAAAAGGAGACTATGTTTATAGCTTGTGTTTTGAGAGATTACTTTGATAATCAATTCCATTAAGAGATAGACACAGGAAGAAAACAAAAATCATCTTCATTCTTATAAGGCTGTCTATATTCTCTGACAGTAATAGGTTTACAGAATAACGTAGAGTTAGAGTTACCTTCCCTGTCTCAGGCAGAGGTTAAAAAACAAAGGGGTCACGGGTGGAGGTTTGCCACTATAAAACTTGCCCCATGGGGGAGCTAGGAATATATGCCCCCTGCAGACAAACTGCTTCCCCAGAGAGACACAAAAAGAAGGAACTGAATTACTCATGCCCAGTTTCTTTTTCTCTCTCTCTTTTTAAAACATGAGATATTTAATAGAGAATACATGTGTCATTTGTTTTTCCATTCTTGCAATACTTCACTTAGAAGAATGGTCTCTAGTTTCATTCAGATTGTTACAAACATTTCTAGTTTACCTTTTTTTATGGCTGAGCAGTCCTCCATAGTATACATATTCCACATTTTATTAATCCACTCATGTATTGATGGGCACTTGGGTTGTTTCCACGTCTTTGCGATTGTGAATTGTGCTGCAATAAACATTTGAGTGCACGTGTCTTTTTGATAAAATGACTTTTTCCTTTGGGTAAATACCCAGTAGTGGGATTGCTGGACCAAATGGTAGGTCTACTTTTAGTTCCTTGAGGTATCTCCATACTATTTTCATAGAGGTTGGACTAGTTTGCAGTCCTACTAGCAGTGTATAAGTGTTCCCTTCTCTATACATCCATGCCAACATTTGTTGTTTTGGGACTTTTTGATAAAAGCCATTCTCATTGAAGTTAGATGATATCTCTTTGTAGTTTTGATTTGCATTTCCCTGATGATTAGAGATTATGAGCATTTTTTTTTCATATGTTTATTGGCCATCAGTCAATCTTCTTTATCTTTTTTTTTTTTTTTGAGACAGAGTCTCACTCTCTTGCCTAGGCTAGAGTGCTGTGGTGTCAGCCTAGATCACAGCAACCTCAAACTCCTGGGCTTAAGAGATCCTCCTGCCTCAGCCTCCTGGGTAGTTGGGACTACAGGCATGCACCACCATGCCTGGCTAAATATCTATCTTCTTTTGAAAAGCTTCTGTTCATGTCTTTTTATGGGGTTCTTTAATTTTTTTCTTGCTTATTTGTTTGAGTTCTTTAAAAATTCTGGTTGTCAACCTTTTATCAGATATATAGCATGAAAACATTTTCTCCCATTCTGTAGATCGTCTGTTCGCTCTATCAATTGTTTCCTTGGCTGTACAGGAGCCTTTTAATTTAATCAAGTTCCAATTGTTAATTTTTGTTGTTGCTGTGTTTGTCTTTGGGGTTTACTTCATAAATTCTTTGCCTAGGCCAATGTCTATATGAGTTTTTCCAATGTTTTCTTCTAGAATTCTTATAATTTTATGTTATACATTGTGAATTTTTGTGAGTGGTGAGAGGTGCAGATCCTGTTTCAGTCTTCTGTATGTAGCTATCCAATTGAATAACATTCCTTCTCCTTGAAGCAAATAAATGGG